CTTTGTAGAATACAAGTTTTGAGATACCAACCCTGCTCTCTTCTGGTTTGTCATGTTCATACCATGATCCACTCTGCTCAAGCACTGTGCAGTTTTGACTGAGCTAACATAAAATTTCTGCTGTTCTCCAGATAGTTGCACAAGGGCATATCAGTTGTATAAAGGGATATTAATATTCTACCTTAAAATTCTGTGCTTCCACATGCACCCCACGCTACCCTAACTTCAGTGCCAACACAAACATTCGGTAGAGAGTTGATTAATGAGAGCGTAACAAAAAAAATTCTGATCTGTCTCGGCATGCTTTTTGTCTTCTGGAATCAGACCATGTATGATTTTCTACTCTTCTGTTTAAAAAAGAGTAACATAACACAGAAATAAGAGCATTTTAACGCAAAAGTAGAATTATCCTTCAGTGTGCATATGAAAAAAACCACATTTTATTCCTTTGATGAAAATAACATTCACTAAAGAACAACAACCCTTTCAGCTGCTCTCCAATGGTGGGATGACATGACCAGGAACAGGTTTTGGTAAGTTCCATTAAAAAAAACCCTTTGTTTTTCTCTCTTCTTCCTTATGTTAGCAGTGTAAGCCTCAATGGGATCCAGTGGGATTATATCATGATGCCAAAAGAAAAGGAAGAAAACAAAACACAAGAAAAAAAAATCCACACCCAGAATTTCAGGGGTCCTGATTGCTTTAACTACTGACAGGATATGCAGTGGTTTCAGTACAATAATAAAAGGTCTGATAAAATACTTGGAGCATATGAGCAAGGAAAACATCACATACAAGCAGGCAGTGTTTTCTGTTGAGGGGGCAATAAAAATGTGACTGCAATATACTATCTAGTTGTAAATTTAGCCAAATAATACAAGAGATGGAAAAGGAATTGAAAAAATATGCAAAGACTACACAATGTACAGAAAAATATTCACTGTAAGATTGTCTTCTGGTTGAGGGAAAGTTAAAAAAGTTATTTTGATTGAGCTACAAATACCCATAAACAGTTTAGGAGTGGGTTGTTCTTTGGTCTTCCAAGAAAAGTAGCAATTGGGAGATTAATTGTGGCAAACTCAGGCTGCAGGTACAGAGTGTGTGTTCAGCACTGGTTATAACTAACCACTGGAATAATTTATAACACAGTTCACTGCCTCTTGACTCTTCAAATCTAGATTAAATTATCTAGGAAGTGCTGCTGTAAATCAAAAAGAAAGTATACCTATCAGAGCAGTAAAGTCCTGGAGGAGCGGAATGGGGGCTCCTTCATCAGACAAGCAGACAACTTGACTGCAGGGTTCCCTCCGTGTCTGCACGGCGCTTCGCTGCCGAGTGACAGGTCCCAGCTCTCCCCAGGTCTTCCAGCGACAGCTCCTCCCTTCTGGCCAGATGGACAGCACAGCATGGTCTTCAGCTCCGGCTTCGGGGGACCTGCTCGGGGCAGAAAGCCGCCTTTTATAGCCGGCACGCAGCTGCCCTGGCTCACACCTACGCGCCGCTCCCGGACCGAGGCACTTCCATCCCTGCCGGCCCCGGCACCCGCAGACCAGCCCGCCGCGCTGCCCATGGGACCCCTGCGGCCCGTCCTGCTGCTGCTGCTGCTGCTGCTCGGCGCGGGGGTGAAGCTC